AAATTTACAGCATGACAATTTGATAGAAATAATGGTTTGTAAATTTGGAATATATGGTTTTGAAAAAAGATTAAAACTGATAATTTTAATATTAGGATTTGTTATCTATATATTTTTAATATAAAAACCATGAAGATAAATCAACCATAAATCATTAAAACTAATTTTATCATTTACTATTTTTTTTTCCAATCGAAAAAAAAGAGAAAAAGAAAAAAATAACTTACCATTTGTTGTTTTTACCTTTTCTTAAAGAATCACTAGCTATTATTTTTTTATGAAAATAAGTTATACTGATAAGTATATTTATTCTTTAAATGTAGTTTATATTTCTAAAAGACTTATCATCTAAAAAGAAATAAATGATTATTCGATACAAGAAAATTATATGCCAAATAACCTAATTTACATACTTTAACGATATATTAATGGTTATGATGAACAATTTGAACGAACAACTCAAATCCAAAATTACATACAATTATTTATATACATTAACGATATATTTAAATAGTAAATGATATCTATAATTCATTTTGTGTTCTTTGAAATCCAATATGTCATCATGAAATAGAAATATATATAGTTTTCGACATAACGATCCAATAAATGAAAACAATTTTCCAACGTACATACAAATAATACAAATAACGAAAGTAAAAGTGAACTTCGACGAACATTTCAATGACAATGAAGTCTATACATCAAATGTTGTGTATAAAGAAACGTTGCACGATTAATAATAAATAATCAATCATGTCTTCATGTATATTTGTAAATAATGCAAACTTTTAATTTTTAATTTTTATTGAATTTGTTTATGCTAACATGATCTTATTGATAATTGTTTACATGTACTAAACTTTATATATATATATATATATATATATATATATATATATATATATATATAATATATATATATATATATATATATATAACCAATAATAACTTCTGAAAGAAATAATTCGTATCTGTCACTTGGCGCGGGTAAACGGCTTTTATATATATATATATATATATATATATATATATATATATATATATATATATATATATATATATATATATATATATATATATATATATATATATATATATATATATATACACTCATTTCTAAAACCTTGTGATCCAAATTTCACTTAAATTGAACAATGTAATAGTTATCTTGTTCAAACATATTCCTAAACTCTTAAGAGTCGAAATCACACTAGAACTACATTTTGTTACTAATGTATCACAATATTTTACACTTCATTAAATAAAAATGTTTTCTTTTCGCTTGGTGGACTATTTGTGATACTTATATAACTGAAACATCTATCATGTTATATTTTATCATAAAAATATCATATTAATCAACCATAAATGCAATAGTCATTATTTTTAATTGGGTAAAATACATGAATGACCTATGTGGTTTCGGACGGTCCATATGTTTGGTACCTAACAATTTTTTTTTAAACTAAGAACGTTCCTAAAATTTGTTTCTGTTTCATTTATAGTCCCTAAAAGAACTGAAATGACCATGTCATCCTTATTTTTATTTTTTTTTTGTTTTTAAGGTTTATTAAATTTAAAAATAAACTTAAATAATTTACAAAATAAGTGAGAATCATGTCCTACACCCCTAGATTCTGGCACCACCGCTTAAGTCTGACACCACCGTTAAAGTTCGGAACCACCAACACCTTTACGAGAACTATGAATAAAAGAAACCCAAATACAATATACAAAAAAAACCCTGATATAGTTGTTGCTACACAAAAAAATAGATGCAATATACAAAAAGAAATTAGATCGATATACAGAATACCATAATCAATATACAAAAATCCAGATCCATGAGAAGCTTTTTACTAAGAAATTTTAACAGGAGAGACTTTTCAAAAACCCACTTATCTATTCCGCCTCTCGAAAACATGAACTAGAGAGAAAAAAATGTGGATTGGATTTTAGGGTCCTTCTATACTCCAAGAGAGAGAGAGAGAGAGAGAGAGAGAGAGAGAGAGAGAGAGAGAGAGAGAGAGGGAGGTTTACCTTCATCGGAAACAAAGAAGCTGATGAAAAGATTTATGGTTTGGTCTTTGAATCTCGGGTTTACAAAACTTGGAGGTTCATAAGAAGATGGTTATGGGGTAGGATATGGGGTTTTCAAAAATCGATGGTTTTTAGAAGGGGAATTTTGTTCGTTGGGGGTTCTAGAGATTGATTTTGGTGATTGTTGAAGTCATCAGCCGTGAAATACTTGTATCTGCCACGTGAAATACTTGTATCTGCCACTAGATGTGATGAGAGAGAGAGAGAGAGAGACTGAATAAAGAGAGGCACATTTCTTTTCTTTTGTTGACATTTAAAGTAATAAAAAACATATTAATTAAAAATAAACACATAGGAGTAATATAGTCGATTTAGGTTTGGTGGGGAGCAGATTTAGAGCAAAACAAAGTTATAGGGATTTTCCGAGTTAAGAAAATTATAAGGGACCAAACATGAAGATTTAGAGCAAAACAAAGTTATAGAGATTTTCGGAGTTAAGAAAATTATAAGGGACCAAACATGAAGACTGACTCAAACCACACGGACCATTTGTGTATTCTACCCTTTTTAATTTAAAAAACCATTATATACAAAATACTTGTAGAAATCATAATCTTCTATACCAAATTGATGCCAATCTGTTTTCAAGTAATATAATAATAATATTAATAAAAGTTCGTCATGATCATATTTTATTATACTTTAATATATAAGTAAATAAACATAAAATATATCACTCATTTCCAATTTTGATACATTTTTGGATTTGAATAATCTTTTCTCCAAGTCACGTAGAACCCATCGTCTTTGACAATCCATATACAACGCTTTTCGTTGCAGTATCTATTTGCTATCCTATTATTAAAAATATTAAATACTGCAGTCTTTGATTTCCAATTGAAATGAGCTACAAATTGAGTCGACAGATCGAAGCTCATGCAAAACTGCACATGTTTTTCAGCGTTAAATGCAAGTGTAGTACTTCCAAGATTATCATCTCTTGATCGTATATGCACGTTGATGGAATCGTTAATCTTGTTGAGGATAAACACGTTCCACGGACCACCCCGAAAACATTTCGACTTAGATGTTGGGTTAGGTAATAGAGATGTAGTCGTAGATGCATATGTTGTGATTATAAGGTAAAATTGTAAGAAAAACAAGATTTTCATAATTTCTTTGAATGAATAAATGATAAGACAGTTCTGCTATAATATGCTAAAGTACTTTGTTAACTCATTCCAAATAAATGATAGTTTGTTAAACCATTCAAAATACATGAGAAATCATGTTCTAACTTTTAAAAAGACTGTCTTATGATATTATTAATTAATGATTAAAAAATAACAACAATTTAGCAACTACTCTTTTTAGAAACCAGATGTGGAAATTGTTGTCCGTTTAATTATAAAATTATCAGTTATCCAAATAACATAAATTTGGTAATTACTTTATATTTTCGACTAATTGTATGGATAGATCAGAGTGATCGGTTCATTAGATATGCGAAGGGAGAAAAACATAAAAACACAGACTATTATTATCATTTTATCAGAAAACCAACCAAGAGGGAGGTATCTATGGACATCCCTTGATTTTAATTATTTTAGAAGTTATATCATATAATTTATATGGAGACCCTTGTAATTTTTGGATGGACACCCTAGTAACTTTTAGATAAACAAAATAAATCAACGGTATATGGTCGAAGATCACGTTGTTAAAACCTCAAGGTCAAGGAATATGGCCGAAGATCATGATGGATTGATTTAAAATGAGTGAAAAATGTATTGTCCTGATTTCTTCCTTAAGTAGAAAAGTAGTTAGTGGAGAAGATGTTAACTTTTAGGAAGATCTTTAGATTGGTAATGTTCTTTTAAGTACCCGGTTTCCTACTCTTTTTTCCTTGAGAATAATAAATCTTGCTTGCTAAAAGATTGTTGGTTAGATAATCAATGGAGATGGGATTGGAATAGGAACATTCAAAAGGGTATGGAAACTGATCAATTAAATGTGTTAAATTCTTTGGTTCACTACTAGAAAAAATACTTTCCTTGACAGACGAATTACGATGTACAACAGTTTTATGACAGAAATAAAAATGTCTATCATTAAAGTCTGTCATATTTCATAAAATATAAATGATCTATGACGGACAAAACTGTTTGTCATACATTTATGTCGTATGTTAATTTGTTAAATTTTAAATAAAAAAGAAACAAGGAGCATTTTAATGTATGAATTGATTTGTTTTTCATGAGTTATAAGATATGGAAAAAACATTTATATATATATATATATATATATATATATATATATATATAAATAGTATATTACTTTAATTCCTAACATGCTTATTAAGAACAATTTACTTCGTTTGTTTCATATTCTGACACATTACTTTGATTCCTTCCATAATTTGTCCATTTTTTTGGTTTTTGATATTTTGATCACTTTATTTTGCTCGGTCGCTATAATTTGTCCATGTTTTATTGTGTTTCATATTTTGACCAAATTACTTTGCTCCCTTGCCATAATTTGTCCATGTTAGTTGTAGATATTTTGACCACCTTATTTTATTCTGTTGCAATAATTTTCCCTATTTTATATAGTTTACACTATTTTCATTGTTGGTTCAAACGTCACAGATGTCTCACTTTCTTATTTTTCCTCTGTTTGTCACGTTACTCGTTTCTCTCTTATTGATACTCATTTTATATAATTGGATTAAGTGAGGGTGTATTTTGCTCATTTTATAAATGCAAAATGATTTTATGGATTTTATAAAAGGAAATCTCATGGAGGGACTGTATTTTGTTTAAAAGACTAAACTAAGGAAAATTTAGGGCTTTTAATTGCCGTTGACTTCAACGATCGGGAAAGAAAAGGGGCATACAAACGGACATGCTTATGAAAGATCATAGTGAGTGGGAAACACGAAAAATGGGAGGGGTTCGATGGTACTTCAACAATCGGTAGGCTGGGCGTCTGGCTCGACCGGGGAAGAGAGGAGAGCGAAGGATCGCAATGGCTAATCCGGAAGCCCTAACCGATCGCGAAGAGGGAGAAGGGACGAACGCAACGAGGCATTCTCTTTCTCGTCTGGCGATTTCAGACCCATCACACTCGAGTGGCGAGCTCCGGTGGTCGACTAGACCGAAGAAGGACGTGGGAAGAAGCAGTGACGTTGCTTTGCGGTTGTCGAACGGGAGTGAGAAGCGAGGGCAAAGGAGGTCTCGGTCCTTGGGCCGGTCATGAAGATGAAGCGGCGTTTGGTCGACGAGAAGGAGGACATTTGGCTCGATGGAGTAAGGCAAGTGGAAACAGAAGCTCCGATGGGGGGTTTTGGCAGTGGTGCTCGATAGAAGAAGAGGAACGAATCTCCCGTGGTTCACGAAGAGACAGGTAATTGTATGGGGCTGCTTCTATAGCTCCTTCGTTCTTTCTTTTTCTCTCTCTCTTTTTTTTTTTGTTAATTTTGATGGAAATCGATGGGGTTTTTGGATTGACTTTATTGTTTAACAGTAGTGGATATAACCTAAGTGGGTGTTTGGTTTCCTTGAAATAAGAAGATGAAGAATACATGTGTATGCATTTGATGTTTGGTTTTAGTTGGACAGGGAAGGAAACAAAAACATGATGTTGTTTCTGTTTGCAGGTATACCCTAGAACAAGATCAAAGTCTACTTGTGTTCTTGACTGAAAAGAAAGAATTTTGGATGTTTAGGTTTATTGTTTGGGTTTTGGTATTTGATAGGGAAGATGAAGAACGAAATGATGGATGCAAGTTGTTTTGTTCGATTCTTATAGTTTTAGTATTTCTTTTTTGTGTGGGTTAGTATAAATTGAAATTAGAAGCAACATGTTGGTAAAGTGATTTATTACACTTCAAATAAACGAAAGTGATTTTTTTCTTACAGTTTTAGTATTTCTTGCTTATGTACTTTCTCTCCATTTTCTTTTTATCTTTTTCAGGGACTAATTATTCTGCTTAATCTTTCAGTTGACCTGGCTTAATGCTCATCTTACAAAGATTTGTCCCTCTATGTTGATGAGGTCAGTTTTAAAATTTAAACCCCTCTATTCACCATCATTATGGTAATATGCTTATCATGTGTTTTTGGATTTTCTTGTAGGCAACATCTGAGCTTATAAAGGCTAATTTGGAGCTAACTCTTAAACAATACAGACCAATGGTGTTGTCCTATTTGTCATTTTCCAAGTTTACCCTCAGCACGGTGGCCCCTCGGTTTATAGGTTAGGCTAATTGATAGTATTACCATTTGCATTTATCCTTTCATAGTAAGAAGATTCCACATAACTTGAATCTTAATTATCAATTGTTTAAATTGCTTAGGAGTTTCTACTGTTGAAGATGGAGGTGAAGGAATAACTATGGACATGGAAATGAATTGGGATGGAAACCCTAGTAATATACTTGATATTAGACTTGACTAGGAGTTGGATTGCTTGTGCAGGTAATTCAATTTGCCTAGCTATCAAGGGTTATTATTGGAATTTGGACAATAATTGGCTTCAACTTTGATTACTATTAACAAACCATATTCTTTAATCTTAATCTCTTTTGTTGTTCAGGTGAAGAATATTGCATTCATTAGGGTTTCTAGGTTGATTTTTAAGCAAATAATAAGATGATCATGATCATAAATTTTATGATTATTGATGGTTAAAATAACCAAATTTGGAACATGCGAAATGAACTCTGTAACTGGTGAACTGTTAAAAGAAATGAAAATCTCAACGAAACTTATCTCTTCATCTGTATATTTTTTTGGTGAGTCTTCCCAACACACGGTCCTTAAATTATCTTAACCTTTTTCTTCTAACGTTTGTTTTCTTGTAATGATAGATGATTGAGAAGAACTACTTAAGTTTTCCACAGATGCTGCATGTTCCTACTTTTTGTATGCATATTTTCAAAGTGATTACTGCAGTTATGATGATTTTTTTTTTTTTTACTTTAACCAGGGTCCGGTGAAGCATATGCATATGTTGGATGATAAAAAACACCATACCTACATATATATTTGGTGACCAGAATATGCACATGTGGAAAAATGGATCAAGTCAACAACCATTAGTTGCAAGAAGTTATGATTGACATATCAAATGTTGCAAAAGATTGGATTGATCAAGAAGTTTTGGCTTTTTATTGAAATCCTGATAATACCCTTTACATATAAAATGTGTGTCTGTGTATTTGTGTTTGTGTGTTTTACAGTGATATGAATTTACTAAAATAACCTTGGTTAATTTTAGGGTTGGAAGGTTTGGATGCCGGCTTAGCATCGGTGTTGGAATCGATGGAATTCTGTTTGGAGTTGCGGGGTTCGAAAGCTTGTGCTTTGGAGGACTTCGCAAAAGCTATCAATCTAGTGCATCTCAGGAAGGATCTTGTGGAAAGTGGTCATGTGTTGCTAAACCATGCTTATCACAATCAACAAGAATACGAAAGGTATGAGGGTGGAACTGGAATCCGTGATTCCGATGGAATTGGAATATGTGATTCCAATCCGATGCCAAATAAATGGAGTTTAATTCTATCCGAAGGTAGAACCAGACTCAGTGATTCCGATAGAATTGGAATTAGTGATTCCGACGGAACCAAAACCCTACAAAAACTTCAAATGAAAACCAAAATTGCAAGAGAACCTTTTGACATTATGGTTAATGTAATGGAATGTATTTTTGTATATGTATGACATCTTATTTTGCATTATTGAAAATTAAATGTGTAATTTATTTTGTTTAATATTTGGTACAAATCTAGAATATATATATATATATATATATATATATATATATATATATATATATATATATATATATATAACCATGAATGTTACGAATTACGACATACAAAGCCAATTGTAAATGTATGTCGAAAACGTGTGTCGTGTATGTATGTCATAATTGTAGGTCATAAAGATCTGTCGTAAAATTTATGACAGGCCAAATGCCTGTCATTATCCTTTATGATATGGCTTTCAATGATAGACATTTGTCTGTCATGTATAGGCATTTACGACAGACAATGTCTGTCAAGGAAAACCTTTTTTCTAGTAGTGGTTTGTGATGCCAAACTTAAAGATGGAGTTGATTCTTGGATTTGGGATCTTAGAAATGACGAAAATTTTAATGTTCAAGATACGAGAAAACAAATTGAACAAATTATGTTGCCGGATAATGAAAGGGAGACTTCTTGAAACAAATTCATTACTAGGAAAATCAAAATATTTTTTGGCATTTATCGTTAGATAGATTGTCGACTTGAAATAATTTGACATATAAAGGTATCAACATCTCTAATAATTACTGTCCTTTGTGTAACTTGCATCCGGAATCGGTGTCTCAAGTTTTTACAGAATATCAGATTGCTTTGAAGACTTGGACTAATTTGGCTCGTTGGTTACATATGGTTGTTCCGTGGGAATTAGGAACTATGAATTTAATTACGTGGGTAGATTCCTTGCAAGTTTCTAAATTAAACAAATATATCGTTGATGTTATGGCTCGATCTATATGTTGGGTGATATGGAAATACAAGAATGAGGTCGTGTTTACAGAATCTATATAGAGAAGAGATCCTATCTTTGATTTGATAGTTGATTTGTCGATTTTTTTGGTTCTCAAATAGATATGATAAGAACTTTATGTCATGGATTTCTTGTCTCCAAAACCCATTGAACTTTGTGTAATTTGCTAGCTCTGTGCTAGTTTTGGCTTTTAATCATTAAGTTGTTCAAAAAAAAAAAAAAAAAAAAAATCAACGATGAGAGCAGTGTGAGTCTTCGAATAATTAACTTCCTTTTTTGAACTTAGATGTATATTTTCCCTAGGGATGTCAATGGGGTGGGGAGTGCATCTCCCGCCACCGCCCCCGAAATTTCTCTGTTCCCCGCCCTCGCCCCCGCTCCCGGAATGTTCAATGTTCCTACCCCCACCCCGCCCCCGAATCACATTTATTACCCCACCCCGCCCCCGTTCCCCCGCCCCCGATTGATTTTGGGCTACTTTTTTTTGGGTTAAAAGAAGTTGTTATTTAGGCTAAAATAAGTTATTTTTTAGGTAACAAATAATTATTTATAGCAGAATTTTATATGTTAAAAATAAAAAAGTTATAGCATTTTAAAAAACTATACTAACAACTTAAACACATGTTTTTTGATGAATTTTGGAAGCTCAAGATCATTTTATTTTTTATTATATTTATATAATTAATATATGTAAATATATGTATAATTTATTAACGGAAACGGGGTCCCACAAGACTTTTTGACATCCCTAATTTTCCCTTGTAATTGTTAAAAAACTATAAAAAAATATGTACGTGTTATTTTTAAAAACTATGGCTACAGGTTTTGAAAAGATAAAGAGGATGTAGAACAGTAGAAGAAGAATAAATTGAAGAAACTAAAATTTTAAAATTTATTATAGATAAACAAGATCAGTTAAGCCTGTAAATGCAATAAAATAGGAGGTAAAAAAAGGAGATAAGTTGCAGAAAAATAGAAACAAATTTCTAAGATTGAAGAGGTAAAATGGTGATTTGCATGAGAAAGATAAAAATATAACTTCTGTTGTTCTCTTATTTAACATAAAGTTCGCCTCCTACTAATCAATGATACATATCTATATATTGAACAACTGTGTAGGAATATACGTCGCTGCCATAGAAACAACACTTGCTATCGGAGAAGCAACGCCGTCTTTTTTATGTTTTACTTGGTGTATACCAATGCACAGGATCAACACTTTATGATAAAGTTGTTGAAAAATCATATATCAACATAAAAACTTTAGATGCAATAAAAATATATATAAAAAACTAAATATAGACTCGTCGTCACAACTCACAACATAAATTATGAGTTAATAATAAATGTTCATCTAAAATTCATACAAAATAACATAATCAACTTTTGAAATCAACTATATACACAGATTGCTAACATTAAAAACATAAGGGAACACATTACATACGTAACCTCAAAATTTAAAATATAAAAGAAAATAAAACATACTAATAATAACACAAAAGTTATCTAGGAGAAACGTATTGTTGTAGACTTTTAAAACGTTTTATCAAATTTTTAATAATCATTACTATTATATGATAATCAAGTTTCACTTTTATTAAAACGACGATATCTAATTTGCTTAAGATGTTTTACCATTTAAGTATCATTTATGTTTTATTCATGTAAAAAATATATAAATTCTAAATGTTTAACTACTGAGTTGACAATACGTTACAACTTTTATATTACTTTTAATTTAATCCCCAAAATATCTACAAACCAAATAACTAATAGAACAACATAAAATCATATATATATATATATATATATATATATATATATATATATATATATATATATATATATATATATATATATATATATATATATATATATATATATATATATATATATATATATATATATATATATATATATATATATATATATATATATGGGACGGTTTACTTGAGATTTAAAAAAAAAATAGAGATCTTGAGATTCAACCTCAACCACATATCTCTTATTTGTTGCTCTAACGTTCCACCGTACCTACAACAACAGTATGCCTAATCATCAATGATTATATCTTAGAGATGTATAATCATATATGATTATACATGTTTATACATATATGCCTAATCATAAATGATTATACATATATGTGTTGGATTAGGTGTGTAAACGCATAACTATATTTGATATGTATTTGACCTGATAGTAGCATGATCCTTTTGGGTTGCCTTTAACATAGCAACTTGACTGGAGGAATAGTGGAAAAGAGAGGTTAATTATGATTTAATGATATATTATATGAATAATACATTAATTGAGAAATCATATTATTTAATTAATACTGGTCAAGAATTAATTCTGTGGTCAAAAGAGATTAATTGAATTAAGGGGTCTGGTACTGTAATTATAAGATAGTTACAAAGTTGGGCTTAGGGTCCATAAGGAAGGGGTGAACGAAATCTATGTGGGAGTCCACATAGAATTCATCCAAAGGGCATTCTAGAAGGATCCTATGGGCTGCTTAAGGACTAAGCAACTGGATTAGGATTTTGACTGAAACTCTAGTTGCTCAACGGCATAAGGGACCCTTAGGCATGCATAAATCGGCCACTAAAAACTCTAGAAGGATCTTGAGCTGATTTTGTGCCTCTCTCTCACACACACTCCCTCTCTAATATTCTTCCATTGCTTTTGGTCTTTGTGATCTGTTAGAGACATCACATTTGAGGTGCTAAGTTCTCAAAGGCAAAGATCAAGTAAGCTACAATCAAAGGTAACATTCTTACTTTGTATTAGATGTAGATTTCGATTTTAGCATGGTAGTTTAGGGTTTAAGGCTTTGGATAAAATTTTTTGCATGTACAATTAGAAAAACCTAGATCCAAAACTTTAGGGTTGTATGTGCACCATAGGATTGATGTAATGCTCAAAAGCCATCAGTGGTATTAGAGCCTAGGTCGTTTTTTGTTGTATATGATGCATTGCTAAATTGTTCAAAGCTAGAAAAGTCGAAGAATTTGCATCTGTCTAATGAAATCGTTGAGTCCTCTGATGAACTCGACGAGTCCAAATGTCTGACTCGATGAGTCAGACTCGTCAGTTAGCAAATTTTTTGGGATTTTGATCGGGATTGGATTAGGATAATTACCAAAAATGTGTTTGACTGATAAAATTTGATTTTTATTAGATGGTAATGATTATCCTCATCCAAATGGAAGATAATTGTCAAATTATAATATAATTATTACCTTATGTGATAATTTTAATTATTTGTATTATTTGATTATCTTGCTATGAAATTGAATTAAGTCAAATTTAGATAATGACTAATTATATGATTAATTAAAGTATTTTAAATTTGATCTAGAAGGTCTTGAAAAGTTTCAAAACCTGCCCTCAAGTTTTGGAATTAAAATATTTTGATTAAAATCTTTTAGTCTTGACATATTTAAATTTTGAACCCTAGAGTTTTAAAATTTTAAAATTTAACTCTTATACAATTATAATATTAAAAGATTAATACTTATATATATATATATATATATATATATATATATATATATATATATATATATATATATATATATATATATATGCATAATAAGAGTTTGTCTTACCATTAGTAGGTCTTATTCACAAAGCTGGTCTATAAGGGTGTTTAACGAAGCAACCTATAAAATGACCGCCATTGGGTATCCGCTCTTACCCACCGTACTCTTGACTAGTGGAGGATCGTTAGTCGAATGAGTAGGCTCGGACAAACTAGTTCATCATTAATAATTATAATGATTTTATAAAATAACTAAACTTTTTCATAAATTCTCAATCTTAGTTACTTTAGGAAAAATGTGAAAATGATGCTATTCCATGAAATTGCACTTTGCACCTTGCCAAGTCATTAGTGGAGTGTGTGTGGTTAATCGGCACATTGATTAGGTGGTAAATGATATCGAGAGTACAAAGCACATTTGCATGGTTATTCACACCTTATTTGTGATCCTCGGTATCCCAGTCACAAACTTGAAGGACATAATCGAGATTTAAACATGCCATTGAAAAATTTAATGAATCTCAAAAGAATCTAGGAATTTCAATTCATTTAAAACTTAATATTCCTTTTTGTTTTTCATGGTGGAAATTGGTAAATGGTCATTCACCTACCTTCA